CCTCCAGCCTGCGGTGACAGAGCCAGGACTTCCATCTCAAAAAAAAAAAAAAAAAATTTTAAAATTGGGAATAGATCATCACATACAGCTTTGCACAGGCCTTTCTTTCCATAATGCCTTCAAATGCCATCCTGTGTGGACATCTCATTTGATTATTTTTTATAGGGAAAGATGTCTGCAGTGGTTGGTTTTTCATACACCGCTAACTCTCACAGGAAAAAAATTTTAAGGGTGTGCCATTAAAAATAGGGAATATTTGCTTTTTAATTGTACCGCAGTTTCAATGCGCATTCTCGCATCATGTTTATTATACTATCTGGGAGTACCAAGGTTACTTCCAGAAGGGCTAACCACTAACGTCTTTGAAAGTTTGAGAAACGTAGCCAATACCAAGATATAGCTGTCGCTTAAGATAAGCAGTGTTCTAAGTACAGATCGCATTTGGAAAAAACGAGGATATTGTTGAATCTCATCCTCAAAGACATTCTGAATATGCCTCTTTTCATAATGGTAAGGAAATATAACTATGATTAACGTATTGTTAAGTGCATATTTGTAATTAGATTCTGCTTATTGTGAGCATTTATGACCGCCAGTTTTTAAATTCTGTAGAGATACTTGCTATGGTTTCCCATATAGTAGGAAAGTACTCAAAGTCAGAAGTTTAATTTTGAATTTGTGTAGCTCCTGGTTCCCAAAAAAAAAAAAAAAAAAACTTTTGCATATGAGTTGCAGCAATAAAAGTGCTATGAGACCCAACATCTGCATAACTGTATTCTTTGAAAGCTATGGAATAAGGCCAAGTGCAGTGGCTCACATCTCATCCCAGCACTTTGGAAGGCTGAGACGGGTGGACCACTTGAGGCCAGGAGTTGAAGACCAATCTGGGCAGCGTAGCAAGACCCCCGCCTCTACCAAAAATTTTAAAATTAACTGGGCGTGGTGGTGCATGCCTATAGTCCCAGCTACTCAAGAGGCTACAGTGGGAGGACTGCTTGAGCCCAAAATGTCAAAGCCGCAGTGAGCCGTGATTGCACCACTGCAAAAAAAAAAAAAAAAAATAGAAAAGAAAAGAAAAAGAAAGCAGGCCGGGCGCGTTGGCTCACATCTATAATCCCAGCACTGTGGGAGGCCGATCACAAGGTCAGGAGATCGAGACCATCCTGGCTAACACTGTGAAACCCTGTCTCTACTAAAACTAAAAAAAAAAAATTAGCCTGGCATGGTGGCACGCACCTGTAGTTCCAGCTACTTGGGAGGCTGAGGCAGGAGAAATCACTTGAACCCGGGAGGCGGAGGTTGCAGTGAGCTAAGATCACGCCACTGCACTCCAGCCTGTATGACAAAGCGAGATTTCATCTCAAAAAAAAAAAGTAGGATGGATTCAAAATGTGATCTGGTTGATCATAAATGATACTTTCGGAGCTGGATTAATGTTAAGTCACTTGAGAGATATGGAAAATACCATGTTCGTGGTCAACTTTGATTATTTTAGCCGGGTTCATCTGGTTTGCACGTTGAGACCGTAATACTTCAGGTTCCGATTGTGTCCGGAAGGCTGTGTGTTAACATTCATAGCAAACTGGTTACCTTTATTTCCTGAAAGTTGAATTTTGAAAGAAAGGCAGATACCAACTGAGAAAGCAACCTTCAGTTAAACAAAGGGGTACATCAACTTTGATATTCTTGGGTTAAAAATCAGGTGACAGTTGGAACATGGAGGAGAAATTCATGATTATAAAAACCATGAAGCCAATCTTTTTTACAACAAAGCTGCTTGCTTTTTTCTTAATCATGTAGTGTCTGCTATCAGGCCAGTTCTGGAACTTTACTGAGTCCCTTCTGCTCTTCTGAATTAGTTCTTGATTGGTGGTAACTTCTCAGAAGTTCTGAGGACCAAAAAGAAAGAGCAGTGTCAGTTCGCTAAGCTGAACCATTTGGAGATTACTAAGTATTCCATAACGGTGGGAAACACTTAAATGTGTTGGTTATTAGGGTTTTCTTGTGTTTTCCTTTTAGCATTATATCCTCATATGCAGTGTTGTTACAGTAGAGAAGGACATTTTTTCTAGAGGGCAGAGAGATCTAGGGAATATGACTTTTACCATTTGAACACTACAAATAGCAGTACGTTTTACCATGGTTTTGATAATCTGACATAGAATAAGCTGCTGAGAGGCAAGGATACCTTGGTATATAGAAAGAACCTTGGACTTCGTATGAAGAAAACTTGGGTTTTATCTTCAGCCTAGCCATCTAGTGTCTCTGTAACTTTACAGACATCTAGTGTTTCACTTAACCTCTCTGAGACTTAGTTTCCTTTTCTGTAAATTGATAGTTGTGGCCAGGCACCATGACTCATACCTGTAATCCCAGCATTTTGGGAGACTGAGGCAGGAGGATCACTTGAGCCTAGGATCCTCCAGGATACTTGAGACCAGCCTAGACAACATAGGGAATAAAAAAAAAAAAAATTAAAAATCAGCTGGACATGGTGGTGTACCTCTGTGGTCCCAGCTATTGAGGAGGCTGAGGTGGGAGGATCGCATGAGCCTGGGAGGGTTGAGGCTGCAGATAGCCGTGGCCACACCACTGCACTACAGCCTGGGATACAAGAGCAAGACTCTGTCTCAAAAAAAAGAAAAAGGATAGTTGTGATTCCTTCCTCCTATGGTTTGTTTACAAGTGTCAAACAATCTTCAGAACTGCCATACAGAATATGTTATGTGAGATACGAATTTTTATTCATCTTTTTTATCCAAGGAGCAGTGAAAGTAGTAACTGAATAGAAGTACTTACAAAATTAAAGATCTCAAATGATAAGTGAATATAGTAGAAAATAAAAGGTTGCCCCCACACTCCAAACATACTCTGCAGGGGGTATCTCAAACACCCAGGCCCTTTTCCATACGTAAACGTGTTTACACATAATAGATATTCTGCAACTTTTAAATTTCTTATTGTTCAGTTCTTCTTTTTGTACCATTATATTGTGCTTTCTCCTTATTTATGTCTGTATAGTACCCCTTCATGGAAATGCCATAATTTAACCATTTGAGGAGTGTCCATGTTACTTTCTTTGAAAATAACGTTTTACAATATTGCATTGTACAGCTCTGTAAATATCTGGGTATTGATGAATAATCTTTCTCTTGCCTTTTAAAACAGCAAAAAAGAAGAATAAGAAGGGGAAGACTATCTCCCTAACAGACTTTCTGGCTGAGGATGGGGGTACTGGTGGAGGAAGCACCTATGTTTCCAAACCAGTCAGCTGGGCTGATGAAACGGATGACCTGGAAGGAGATGGTAATTTTTCTTTTGTCATCATGTTTGGAATGTTTATTGTTTTCTAGAGAAAACCTATTACATAATAATTCACATCATTTGTAATCTGAAAAGAACTTACTCATTTTTTAGCACCTGAAATCTTACATATTTTGTAGAATCTAAGGTTTATTCTGAGGTTTGGGCTATCAGACTTTGCAGTGAAGACTGAAGTGGTCATTTAAGAGAGCTTTGCTAGTTCTTGCTCTTGCACTAACAGACTTCTTAAGTTACTATTCTTTTGGGCCTCATTTTCTTCATTTTAAAAGTAAGCAATTCTATGGGGTCCTCATAAAGTGATGTTTCAGGCTGCTCGCAATGGCTCACACCTGTAATCCCAGCACTTTGGGAGGCCGAGGTAGACAGATCATGTGAGATCAGAAGTTCAAGACCAACCTGACCAACATGGTGAAAACCTGTCTCTACTAAAAATACAAAAATTAGCTGGGCGTGGTAGCATGTGCCTGTAATTTCAGCTACTCGGGAGGCTGGGGCAGGAGAATTGCTTGAACCCGGGAGGTGGAGGTGGCAGTGAGCCGAGATCATGCCACTGTACTCCAGGCGTGGGTGACAGAGCGAGACTCCATCTCAAAAAAATTAAAAACAAAAAGTGATGTTTCAGTGTAATCTGTTAGCTATGTTTACTCAGAGCCAAGGAATAATTAGTTCTAGGAGTTATTAGTATAAAATCAGTGTCCTTGGGTAAACAAAACTGGTCTGAGGAAAAGGAATGAGAACACTAATTATGGTGGGAAAATAAAGAAGAGTCATTGAGTGTCATTTGGACAAGTTCTGTACCTTCAGGGAGTCACCAGAAATAATCAGGAGCTATTTTTTATAATTACCAGGTATGACATAAATCTCATTACTATTGTTTTTTTCCTGAAAATCTTTTATTGCATGCTGAAAGAATAATTTTTCTTGTGACCTGTTCTCATAATTCCTACAAATGGGAATTTTTTTTTTTTTTTTTTTTTTTTGATACAGTCTCACTCTTATCGCCCAGGCTGGAGTGTAGTAGCTCGCTCTCAGCTCAGCACAACCTCTGCTCCTGGGGTTCAAGCGATTCTCCTACCTCAGCCACCTGGGTAGCTGGGATTACAGGTGCCTGCCACCACACCAGCTAATTTTTGTATTTTTAGTAGAGTTGGGGTTTTACCATTTTGGCCAGGCTGGTCTTGAACTCCTGACCTCATGATCCACCTGCCTCAGCCTCCCGAAGTGCTGGGATTATAGGCATGAGCCACCGTACCCAGCCAAAACAGGAAATTTTATATAGGTCGTACTTCCCATAAGTGTTGGTATCTGAAGTACAAATTCATGGACAGTTCTGTAGGGAAAGATTGTTGTTGTTGTATTTTTTGTTTGTTTTCAGACGGAGTCTCTGTCGCCCACACTGTAGTGCAGTGGCGCAGTCTCTTGGCTCACCGCAACCTCCGCCTCCCGGTTCAAGCGATTTTCCTGTCTCAGCCTCCCAAGTAGCTGGGATTACCGGCACGCGCCACCATGCCTGCCTAATTTTTGTATTTTTAGTAGAGACAGGGTTTCACCATATTGGTCAGGCTGGTCTTAAACTCCTGACGTCAGATCCACCCACCTTGGCCTCCCAAAGTGCTGGGATTACAGGCGTGAGCCACCGAGCTGGGCCTATTGTTTTTAAGGGAGGATAGACCATGCAGAAAAATACTCACTTCAGCCTCGCCACTAGGAGTACGAGAGTTGTCAGTAGTCATTAAATACACCTGGAGTAAGAGGGACCCAGGTTTGAATCCTAGCTTTACCATCTGTGACCTTGGGCAAATTACTGTGTGAAATCTGAGTTTGCTTTTCTGTAGAATGGGGGACAACCTCATAGGACTGTTAGATAAGATGGGATATAATTAATATGAAGTAGCTGGCACACAGTAATATTCCATGAACAGTTGTATTTATGGGATAATTCCATACATTTATGGAATAGTATTTCTTTGCTACATAAGGATTGAGGTGTCATAATTAATCTCAGAAGCATCTTCTTTTTGTAAAGTGCCCTTATTAGTGAACCCCCACTTTTTTTTTTGTCTGTTTCCTTGTATAGCGTGTTTAATATTTGGCAGTTAACATGGGTCGTCTTATTCTATGACAGTAGTGAGAGACGTTTCTTCTAATTCTTGTATTCATTCCTCTATCCTAGTTTCAACAACGTGGCACAGTAATGACGACGATGTGTACAGGGCGCCTCCAATTGACCGTTCCATCCTTCCCACTGCTCCACGGGCTGCTCGGGAACCCAATATCGACCGGAGCCGTCTTCCCAAATCGCCACCCTACACTGCTTTTCTAGGGAACCTACCCTATGATGTGACAGAAGAGTCAATTAAGGAATTCTTTAGAGGATTAAATGTAAGTGTAAAAGTTGTAATAATTAACTAGATATTGAGGATAGTGTCTAAAAAAGACTAATTGTGGAATCGGCAGTTGCTCTTAAACAACTGAAAATACAATTTAAGGCTGGGCATGGTGGCTCACACCTGTAATCCCTGCATTTTGGGAGTCAGAGGTGGGTGGATCATTTGAGGTCAGGAGTTCGAGTCCAGCCTGGCTAATGTTGTGTTCTTCTACTAAGAATACAGAAATTAGCTGGGTGTGGTGGCACACGTCTGTAATCCCAGCTACTCGGGAGGCTGAGGTAGGAGAATTGCTTGAACCTGAGAGGGAAAGGTTGCAGTGAGCTGACATTGCGCCACTGTACTCCAGCCTGGGTGACAGAATAAGACTCTGTCTCAAAAAAAAAAAAAAGAAAGAAAGAAATATAATTTATTTTTTTTTTTTTTTTTGGAGTTGGAGTTGGAGTTTCGCTCTTGTTGCCCAGGCTGGAGTGCAACGGTGCAATCTCAGCTCACTGCAACCTCCATCTCCCAGGTTCAAGCAATTCTGCCTCAGCCTCCCAAGTAGCTGGGATAACAGGCTTGTGCCACCATGCCCAGCTAATTTTTTATATTTAGTAGAGATGGGGTTTCACCATGTTGGTCAGGCTGTTCTTGAACTCCTGACCTCAGATGATCCACCTGCTTCGGCCTCCCACAGTGCTGGGACTACAGGCATGAGCCTCTGCACCTGACCTGAATTCATATTTCTTTTAAGGGTTAAATTCATATAGTTCAAAATTCAGAAGGTATAATAGGGCATTTAGTAAAGTTTCTACTATCCCTCTGCATCAGTTTTCCTCCTGAGACAACCATGTTCTTGTGTATTCATAAAAATTCATGCACATACAGTAATGCTTTCGTACTCCTCTCAAAAAATGGCAAATGAAGAACGTTGGGAAACTTTGTTGTTTCTTATTCCTTCAGATCAGTGCAGTGCGTTTACCACGTGAACCCAGCAATCCAGAGAGGTTGAAAGGTTTTGGTTATGCTGAATTTGAGGACCTGGATTCCCTGCTCAGTGCCCTGAGTCTCAATGAAGAGGTAAAGGAAATAAGAGTGGGGATATGAGGGGTGTAAGTTCACAAATCTCGTGTTTATCTATCAAACTGATATTTTTTAGGTTGAGTGAGTGGCTCACTTCAAAGATTCCCATATCTACAAATAAAGGCCTGCATTATTTAACAGTATATCACTTAACATTCAACATTTAGCAAGTCACACTTCAGCAAATTCAGTAGGCCCCAATAATTTAGAGAGGTACTTAGGTGGAAAATTGTGGAAGAAACGCGCGACACACCGTGTCTCTAAAAAAGTCTCACATTGGTTTACCCATAGTGTTGCCTCAACTCCTATGACTTTTTCAGAGTAATCTGACCTGATAAAGGCAAATAGAAAAATCAAATTTGTTTAGTATTGAAAGGCATATCTCATTTTCAGGGAAGTGTTGTAATGGTATTTTTTGTTCATTTAAGAGGATTTGGAAACATTTCCTACAAAGGAATATATTATAGGAGAGAGACAAATATCCAATCCTTCTGCTTGTCAACACTGCCTACAAAATATTTTCCTGTCCCAGAACTTGAGAGGCTTATATCTCAGAAGAAAAAAGACTTTTTTCCTCCTTTAACTCCAAAAACACCTTATTGTTTATTGATAAGGCAATTTCTAGTGCCATTTGTGCCATAATTCGTGCCATAAGTCCTAATTTGCCCTATGACATGATTGAAATCAACACCTCTTAGAAATAGTTTTGCTGCCTCATAATTACCATCATCATAATCTGTCATCAGTGTGAAATAGAGATAAAAATTAATGTACTTAGTTAAATTTAAATGCATATGAAGGTCTAATGTTGTTCCAGAGTTACTCTTATTGGATTATTTTTAGATTTTATTAACTTTAGTGGTCTCTAACCTTACTCAGTCTGGATAAGAAAAAGAATACCATGCAGTTGTTAACTATTTGATGCTTACTAGATGAACTATTACTTAATATATTGTTGTGGTGCATATTTAAGAGTTACTTTGTTACTAAAGATTTCATTATAGTGGTGTTTAATATAGTTTTGGGTATTTTTAACTAAAAATCATTGTTATCCTTCTTCAACTGTAGATTCTACTATGAAATGAGGAAAAATCAGCAGTAGAATTAATTGGGTTCAAAGTATGTAAATAATGATGTGGGAAAGGGAAGTCAGAGGGTATCTCTGGAAGAACTGATTTATCCAAAGGTAATACTGAGTGAAAGAACCTAAGATTGTAGACAAAGCATGCTTTATGCAATTTTGCTGGTGTATAGTACTAGTAGGGGCTCTATAAATGTGTTGGGTGTTTTTATTTTTAGGAGACAGGGTCTCGCTATATTGCCTAGGCTGGACTTGAACTCCTGGGCTTAAGTGATCCTCCCGCTTCAGCCTCCCAAATAGCTGAGACTGTAGGTGCACGCCACTGCACCTGGCTTCTATAAATTTTGATAAATAATTGCTGTGGCACCAAATATGCCTTTTATTCAGCTAGTTATGTGAGGATTGTTTTTAATTTACTACACTTGACAAATTACCTTGGATCGTTAAAAAGTTAATTCTGTTCTGTGAAATTAAGCTTTGTAAAAGTAGTATGATAATTGACCTAATATTCAAAGCCAGCTTAAATTTGTTGAATTTTTAAGTATTTATAAAGGACTCTTTAGCCCACAGATTGGAGTGTTAGCTAGATTACAGTGTTCTCCTTTATCTTCCTTCCCCTAGTGCTTCTGCTATGCCCAGACGTTCAAGGTCACTCAAGGGATTTGTGCATAATGGGGCAAAAGGTTGGTTAATATGGTCCTATGCTCTCAGTCTCTAGGTAACAGGAGAATTCGAGTGGACGTTGCTGATCAAGCACAGGATAAAGGTAAGGAAACTGGTAGAGATTTCTGACTGGTAATGGTCCTAGGATGACAACAAACCATCCTTTCCCAGAAAATTTTAATAGGGGTAGTGGTGGGCCTGCCTGAATCTACAGTAACAGTTTTCAATCAGTTTTGCCCCACAAGGGATTTCTGGCAATGTTTTAAGACAGTGTAGGTTGTCACAATTGGAGGGAGTGCTGCTGACATAAGTAGAATCCAGGGGTTAATTCTGTAGGGGATAGGACAGTCCCTATCAACAAAGAATTATGCAGCCCAAAATGCATGTCAAGATTGAGAAGCCTGATTGATCTAGATGAACATTAAATAGATGATAAATAGATTATCTGCCTAACAGCACAGTGGTCACAAAGGGGACCTAATTTGTATATGTTTCACGGACTCCTGGCCTATGCAGAATTTGAGATAGCTAAGCATTAAATCAATAGGAAAAAATGGGAGGAAAAGAACCACTTGGGTTGAATTGGAGCATGTACTTATGGGGCCTGAGGTAACTGGGATGACAGTGTGATGTGAAAGTGAAAAATAGGGTCAAGTGGGGTTTTTCTATGTGTGAGAAACATCGGGCAAAGTTTTTATGAGCTAACTTAACGGTTTTTGTTTTAATGTATCTGTAGACAGGGATGATCGTTCTTTTGGCCGTGATAGAAATCGGGATTCTGACAAAACAGATACAGACTGGAGGGCTCGTCCTGCTACAGACAGCTTTGATGACTACCCACCTAGAAGAGGTGATGATAGCTTTGGAGACAGTAAGTGTTTTTATGAAGTTAGTTTCTTCTGTGCTTTGGGAGGCTATTTAGTAATAGGCCAAATGTGTTACAGATGATCACATTAACAGATAGAGGGGGGAAAGCAGATTAAGAAAAATTTTGGATAATATCTGAAAGAATTGATAGATGCAGAAAGCAAATTTGACAAATTAATAATTTTATTTAGAAACTTAACCAAAGAAAGGGACAGACATTTCTCTTTTTTTGGAGACAATTGTTTATAAAGAAACCCAACCTGGGCATGGTGTCTCACATCTATAATCCCAACACTTTGGGAGGTCAAGGCAGGTGGCCCAACACTTTGGGAGGTCAAGGCAGGTGGCTTGAGGCCAGGAGTTTGAGAGCAGCCTGGGTGACAAAACCCTATCTACCAAAAAAAAAAAAAGATGACGTGGTAGTGCGCACCTGCAGTCCTAGCTATTCAGCAAGCTGAGGCAAGAGGACTCCTTGAGCCCAGGAGGTCTAGACTGGGTGACAGAGCGAGACCCTGTCTCCAAAAAAAAAAAAAACCCAACACATTCTACAAAGTGAGCTATTTGAAATCAGAAAGAGACAGAGTCTTGCTCTGTCGCCCAGGCTGGAGTGCAGTGGCACGACCTTGGCTCACTACAACCTCCACCTCCTGGGTTCAAGCATTTCTCGTGCCTCAGCCTCCCAAGTAGCTGGAACCACAGGCGTGCACCACCACACCCAGCTAATTTTTGTATTTTTAGTAGAGATGGGGGTTTCACGATGTTGACCAGAATGGTCTCGATCTCTTGACCTCATAATCCGCTTGCCTTGGCCTCCCAAAGTGCTGGCATTACAGACGTGAGCCACTGTGCCCAGCCGATCAGTTGCATTACTATATGCTTGTAGCAAACAATTAAAATACATTTTTTTTTTTCTTTACCCGAGACGGAGTTTCGCTCTTGTTGTCCAGGCTGGAGTGCAATGGCATGATCTCAGGTCACCGCAACCTCCGCCTTCTAGGTTCAAGTGATTCTTCTGCCTCAGCCTCCCGAGTAGCTGGGATTACAGGCATGTGCCGCCACGCCTGGCTAAATTTGTATTTTTGGTAGAGATGGGGTTTCTCCATGTTGGTCAGGCTGGTCTCGGACTCCTGACCTCAGGTGATCCTCCTGCCTCAGCCTCCCAAAGTGCTAGGATTACAGGCATGAGCCACCACGCCTGGCCTAAAATGTAAGTTTTTAAAATAAAAATATTGATTCACTTTAAAAATACTCAAGATATAGCAGTGAACAAGGATATAGCAGTGTAATTTTTTTCTAATAAAAATTGATTCACTTAAATGCTCAAGATACAGCAGTGAACAAAAACAAGAAAATCCTGTCTTTATTGGGCATATGTTATTATAGTGGAAGGAAGAGAGTGTGTGAATAATTAAATAGTTGGGGTGCGGAAAGATAGGGGAGTGGGAAATATCATGGGGTAGGAGTAGAGATTAATTATATACATCACTTTAACAAAAACCTTTATTGGGAAAATTATGCAACTTTATTAAAATACACAAAAATAGATGACACTAATTATTTTTAAAATGGAAAGAAGCTACTAGCTAGTAAAAATAAATTAGTGTTTTGTCTGTAATCAAATACTTAATAGCATAACAACAGGGATAAAATTCAAAACCTGTTACATTAAGGGGAAAAAAATTGTGTATAAATTTGAAAACAATACCATGTAGTATTAATGCATAAGTTGTAAAAAATATAAAGCTGTGCATGGTAATTTTAACCACCCTTGTGATTGTTGGTGGGGGTAGGGAAAATTCTGTTGTTACATCTGTAACATATTTCTTTTAAACAAAAAACTGAAACATGGCAAAATACGACATTCACTAAACCTAAGTAGTAGGTTCATAAGTTTGCTATGATGGCTTCTTTACTTTTCTATATGTTTGAAATAGTTTAAGTAAAAACAGAAAAACTTAAATTTAAAAGCTCTTTGTTTTGTTTTTTTGAGACAGAGTCTCGCTCTGTTGCCCGGACTGGAGTGCAGTGGGCCTGCCAGGTTCAGGGTGTTCCTTGTGCCTCAGCCTCCTGAGTAGCTGGGATTACAGATGCATGCCACCACACCTGGCTAATTTTTGTATTTTTAAGTAGAGATGGGGTTTCACCATGTTGGCCAGGCTGGTCTGTAACTCCTTACCTCAGATGATCTGCCCACCTTGAACTCCCAAAATGCTGGGATTACAGGTGTGAGCTAGCGCTCCCAGCCACAAGCATTTTAATTTTGTGAGGTACCTTTTGAGCTTTGTACTAAATATAATTGAGGACGCAATAAGGGATATAATTCCTATTAGAGGAGAGTCTTTAACCATTTAAGATGTAGAAGGAAGAAGAATGGGTCATAGGTCTGAAAGAAGGGTAAATCAGCAAGTTTATATCTGACTTCTTATATGACTTTGACACAACAAAGCCTTGGGGAGAACTACCTGAGGTGATTAACTTCAGCATTTATGCAAGAGATTCTATTGTTAACAGGAAGAAATGGCTCTTGAAAGAAAAAGCAGACAATCAGACCAAGGGTCCTGTTTTGAGTCCAGGGGCATGACTTTTTTCACCTGAAACCTTGAATTTAGAGCAAGCAGGATGGATAACGAGTGAGTGTGCTGTTGTTATCCAAAGCTGCCCCAAAGTCAACTTAGTTAACCTGAATTAAAGATCCAGAGACTCCTATCTCAAGCATTAGGCCAAAAACAGAACCCTGAGGGGTGTTGGGGGGTATTACACTAAGTATTCCTGTGAAATGTCAGTAATAGCATGTGCTGCTTTTCTCCAATGTGGATCTGTGCTTTCTCAATAAATGCAAGCTTATCATAATTTCAGTATTATCCAAATAAAATCAAGTGTAAATCGCATCTGCAGAAATTAAACCACATTTCAAAATAAACACAGGGCTGATTTTCTTGTGTCCGTTTTAGATCATTTCTATAATCATTTTACTAACATTAGCATGTTCTTTAATATATAAAGTTTATAATACTGGGAAATGTTATGTCTGGTCAGTAAAAAGTATGTGGTTTCCAAAATGAAATCATTATTTATATTTAAAAGACAGTGGCCACAAGAAAAAGATCCCTGGCCTGGCACGGTGGCTCACGCCTGTAATCCCAGCACTTTGGGAGGCCGGGGTGGGCGGATCATGAAGTTAGGAGATCGAGACCATCCTGGCTAACACAGTGAAACCCGTCTCTACTAAAAATACAAAAAAAAAAAATTAGCCGGGCGTGGTGCCGGGTGTCTGTAACCCCAGCTACTCGGGAGGCTGAGGCAGGAGAATCACTTGGACCCGGGAGGCAGAGGTTGCATTGAGCCCACGATTGTGCGACTGCACTCCAGCCTGGGCAACAGAGGGAGACTCCGTCTCAAAAAGAAAAAAGAAAAAGATCCCTGTTTGGCCCCCGTATGTAAATTAATCAGCCTTATAAAATATTTGTAGGTTTTTTTAGTTAGTTAATTTATATTTAGAAATTCAGATTTATTTTTTTTAACATAAAAATCTGGGCTGCCAGCTTCTCTCAGAAAATTGGAAGATCCTAGCAACAGTCAACTGGAGCTAAATAGCAGCTATCCCTTTTACAGACAACTTAATGCTACCCAGTTTGCTATCTGAGTTACTACATTTCTTTATACAGATTTCTAGTATTTAGGTTCCTCTGATACTGAAATGCACATGTGTTGTAAAATATAGTTTATAACAAACATTGCAACGAATGTCTTTGTACATGTATCTTTATCACACATCCAGTTATTTCCTCAGGATGAATTTCAAGAAATTAAATTGTTGGCCAAGAAGGGTATACATGACTTCAAAGCTTTTCATGCATAGTTCTAATACAACTTTCAGTATTTATACTAATTTATTGATTTACTTATTTATTTTGAGAAGAAATCTCACTCTGTTGCCCAGGCTGGAGTGCCTTTGGCACAATCTTGGATCAATGCAACCTCTGCCTCCCTGGCTCAAGTGATCCTTCCACCTCATCCTCCCAAGTAGCTGGGACCACAGGCCTGCACCACCATGCCCGGCTGATTTTTTGTATTTTTGATAGAGTTGTGGTTTCGCCACGTTGCCCAGGCTGGTCTCAAACCCCTGAGCTCGGACGATCCTCCAGCCTCAGCCTCCCAAAGTGTATTTGTACTGTTTAAAATTATGATCAGCAGTGCAGAAATTGATTAAAGCTCCTAAACTTCAATAGAAAATTATGTCCTGTTAGTCATATGTTGCATATATTGTTTCTCATTTTGTTTGCCTCTTAAATAAAGTAGTCTTTGTGGCTGGTTGTTATGGCTCAGGCCTGTAATGCCAGCACTTTGGGAGGCCAAGGCTGGAGGATTGCTTAAGCCCAGCAGTCCAAGACCAGCCTGGGCAGCATAGAGAGACTCTCTCAAAAAAAAAAAAAAAAA